TGAACTGAAAACTGTAACTTGATCAATAACTACAATTGGGCTCTTTAAATCTCCTTCCATAATTGAGCTTAAATCCCCTCCTTTTCAATGATAATTCTCATTCCAGGAAGTTTATACAAGTGTAATTAGATTGCGAGCACTGAAGACAGGCTGCTTCAAAAGAGAGGGGAGTAGTCACACATGTTCATTTCTTCAATCTCCCCAATAAGATTGGCTATTGCTCCTCGTATAAGAATTAGTGACGGAGGGAACAGAGACAAAGAAGAAACAAGAGTTCTAATGTCAGCGGTGTTAAATTTTGGTTGTGTGTTAGAAAGTAATATGATTTTGGTTTTTTACAGTTTTACTGAGGTATAATTGACATACAATAAACTATCCAAATTAAAAATGTATTACTAGATAAGTTTAAACATAGCTATATAGCCATGAAACTACCACCCCAATCAGGATAATGAACCTATCCATCACCCTTAAAAGTTTTCTCTTGCCCCTCCCCTCCCTATCCTGTCCACAGGCAACAACTAATCTGCTTACTGTCTACTACAGATTGAACTCTATATAATGAAATCACAAAGCATGTACTTTTTTATCAGCATAATTATTTGGAAATGTATCTGTTATTGCATTATAAGTAGTTCATTCCTTTTTATTGCTGAGTAGCATTACATTGTATAGGTACACATAGTCTGTTCACTCATTCATCCCTTGATGAACATTTGGGTTCTTTCCAGCTTGGGGTTATTAGAAATACAGCTGTTAAGCACATTCATGTACAAGTCTTTGAATGGTCACATGCTTTTATTTCTCTTGGGTAACCATTTAGTTGTGGAAATGCTAGATCATGTTTAACTTTTTAAGAAACTGCCAAACTATTTTTCAAAGTGGTTGTACCATTTTACACCCTTACTAGCATTTTACACCCTTACTAGTGTAGGAGAGTTTCAGCTGTTCTACATCCTTGTCAATACTTGCTATGGTCAGTCTTTTTAAATTTAGCTATTCTAATAGGTGTTTGGAGGTATCTCGTGGTAATCATTTGCATTTCCCTAAAAAGTAAGATGTTAATCACCTTTTCAGGTGTTTATTTGACATTAAATGTCTTCTGGTGAAATGTCTTTTCACCCATTTTTTATTGATTTGTTTTATTATTGAGTTTTTGCTTGTTTGTTTGTTTTTTAATTGGGGAATTGAGGAGGAGGACCAGCCAAGTAGTTGTTCTTCAACTTAGTTGTGGAGGGCATCAGTTGCCATCTGGCTGCCTGTCGACAGCTTGTGGCCTCTAAGCTCAAGGTGCTGTGTTACAATCTTAGTTGTGGGTGACCATAGCTACCATCCCCTGCAGGAGTCGAACCAGCAGACTTGTTAAGAGTGCACGCTCTATCCCCTGAGCCATCTGGGCGGCAGCTCAGCTCAAGTGCTGAGTTCAGTCTAAGTTGTGGGCAGGCGTCGAACAGGCAGTCTTGTTAGGAGCCTGTGCTCTCAGCAGCTGAGCCATCCTGCTACCTGTTGGCAGTTCAGCAGCTGCTCAGCTTGGGCGCAGCGTCACTGGCCCATGTGGGAATCGAGCTGGCGACCCTGTTGCTCAGAGCTCATGCTCTTAAGCTAACTCTTAACCAACTGAGCCACTCAGCCGGCCCTATTATTGAGTTTTGAGAGTTCTTTATATATTTTAGACACATGACATTTATCAGATAATGAGATTTGCAAATATTTTCTGCAGTGTGGCTCACCTTTTATTTCTCTTAACAGTGTCTTTTAAAAAGCAGTTCTTAATTTTTATAAAGTTCAATTTATCCAATCTTTCTTTTATGGATCATGCTTTTGGTGTCATATCTAAGAGCATTTTTTATCTTATTTAGACTAACCAGAAAGATTTTCTCCTATGTTTTCTTCTACAAGTTTTATAGTTTCTATTTTACATTCAGGTTCATTACCCATTTTGAGTTGTCTTTTGTGTGTAATGGTATGAAATGTATGGTCTTAATTCATCTTTTTGTATGTGGATATCCAATTGTCCCAGCCCCATGTGTTGAAAAGACTGAATTGTCTTGGTGAAAATTAGGTGACTATACATATATATATATATATATATATATATATACATGTATATGTATATATGTGGGTCTATTTCTGAAGTCTCTAATCTGCCCCAATGACCTATATGTCTATATCCCTACACCAGCACCACATTATTGTGGCTTTGTAATGAGTACTGAAGTCAGCTAGTGGAAGTCCTCCAACTTTGCTGTTATTTTTCAAAGTTGTTTTGGCCATTGTATATCTTATGCATTTCCAGATGGATTTTAAAATCATCTTGGCATTTTCTACAAAAGCTTGCTGGGATTTTTATTGGATTGAATTGACTCTATAGATCAATTTGGCAGGAATTGACTTTTAACAATATTGAGTCTTCTGATTCATGAATATGGTACATAATGTTTTTAGTAAATTGCATAGCCTCATGACCCTTTACCCCTAAATTTTTTGGTGTTTATTTCCTAAGAATAAGAATATTCTCTTATATTTCCATAGTACAGTTATCACTTTAGCATATTTTACATAGATGCTTTTACCTTATCTAATGTCTGTATCCCAATTTTATCAATTGACCCAGTAATGTTATATAATTTTTTCCCTCTAGTATAGTTCCCGACTAGGATCACATGTTATATTAGTTGTCATGTCTCTTTAATCTCCTTTAATCTGGAACAGTTCATCATCAGCCTTTCTTCATCTTTTATGACACTGATATTTTTAGAGAATGTACCCTCTTTCTTTTCTTTTACAGTCCCCTTTTTAAAAGAATGCTACGTTAGTGTGAAACAACAGTAATGCTGAATTCCCATATTTAGTTTTTAGAAAGTGGAAGTAATTAAAGGTAATTTTAAAAATAATTTTTACTACTCAGAGCAAAGAAGTCCACTTTACCAAATAGATTACTAAGAAGGCCTGTGTAACACAGTTGTTTCCTTGAATTACATGTGGAATAGAATAGCAATGTTTCACTGATCTGATTACAAAGAATTCTATGTAGTATTTTTCAAAACAAGTACTTTCTCAGGTGCCTCTTCATGAAATAGTCACTTTTAAAAATAAAACTAATATATATGCGTATATGACATTGTGACGGAGAATGAAAGGGCTTGTCAGTATCTGGTTCTCCTCTCCTTTTCAGACATGAGGGGTGACTATATATATCCTAGCTCTTTTGCCATTAAGCAAGAGATGTGGCTAGTTCTTGCCAATGAAATGTGAACGTAAGTGATGTGTCACTTCTGAATGAGATGGTGACCTTGGAAGCCTCAAATTGAGAGGGCAGCATTTCTAGGTAGAAAAAGCCTGATTGTTGAGTCACCAGATGGAGGAGCACTTTGGCTCACCTGCATCAAATTCTGTGACGGTGAGAACTAAACTTTTTAAACTGTGTGCTAAGTCACTGAGATTTCAGGGGTGTTAGCGCATCCTATCCTATCCTATCCTATCCTATCCCATCCTGACTAATATAATTATGTACTATTTGATTTGAGTTGGAAAAGATAACTGAACAGTAGTTGATTCCTGAAATATCTTTTTCAAGTCACATCACCCCCATGTTAGGCACTTCATGGAAAGTTGATTTTTGAGCCATCAAACAAAATAGATAACTATATCCTAGGGCTAGAAGCAAAGGGATAAATGGTTAAGTACAAGACAGCTTCCTTGTCTTGGAGATGTATCATGTGGATGTTTTAAGCTGCAAATGTCAGAAAGCCTAAATAAAGTTGGTTTAGAAATAAGAAAATGCACTATCTTGCATTACTAAAAGTCTCAACTAAGGTACAGAATGCTTCAGGATTGGGCAGTTCGAGAGCTCAACGTGCTACCAAAGACCGGAATTCTTTCTCTCTTTCTCTCCTGAAACCCTTGGCATTGACTTCATCCTTGGGCTCATAAAAATATAGCAGCAGCAATTCTAGCATCTGCATTCTTAAAAGGAAATTTCAAGAAAAATATGGATAACCTCTTTTACAGCTCTCTCCGTTAGGAATTAGGGAAGTTTTCCCAGAAGCCTCCTAATAGGCTTCCCCTTGTGTCTCCTTGGCCAGAATTGAGTCACAGGATCACTCCTAACTGATCTATGACAAGGGGTAGCAGGATTATCTATGGAAAGATCAGGCCAACTCTTAGACCTGGAGATTTGAAGGAGAGGGGTATTCTTGTGAACAAAATCTGGGTGCTGTTAGGAAGGAAGAACTATGGCTGAAGGCTGGATAGAGGCTGACGGTGTGGCCCACAGTAGGGAATGATGAAATGAAGCTCACTCACGGCCACCTCTTAGATGGGCTTTTTCAGTAAATAAGAGCCTTGGGTAGGACTGATAAGAAGAAAACAAATCATTAAAGAATTCCTGGTCATGCTGCTTCCCCCTGGTCATGGCGCTCAAATTTAGATCATCTATAGCTTACCTAATTGATTAGGCTATTTATAAAATAACTATTTATAGGGTGCCAGATTTTCCAGTTAAAAAAAAAAAAGCCCTAAAATACTTCTTGTGAAAACCAGTATTTATATGTTGGTAACTAATTTAAAAGTGAAAAACACCAGCAGCAACAAAACTATGCAGGCTAAACAAATGCAACTTCCAACTGAATTCTAATCATATTCACCAATTTGGGACCTTGGGACATGAAAAGCTCAAGAGTCCCTTTCAGCTCTAACAGTTAATGATTCCATGGTACCCCAACAGTGTTTGTACTACACTGTCATTGGTCATTCATGGTAAGCCATTCGAATAGATGAAAATCTTTAGTACTACTTTAACAAGCCTAACTGTATTTCGCCATTCACCCATTGATATTTTCATTTATTAAATCACTCAACAAGCAAGCATTTGTATAGTGCCAATTATATGCAAAGCATTGTTAAAGTGAGGTAGACATAAAAGAAAGAAAAGAACCTGGGGGTTTGAGGGAGAAAGACCGGGACTTCCTTATAAGAAGGCGAGCTCAGTCGTTTCTCACCTTTGCTCCACCAACAGGTCTTAGAGGAGAGGACTCTGCAGCCTGGCTCAGGGCCTTGGTGTTCGCCCTTCCCAGGGGTGAGTAAACTTGTCCATTGTGGGTCCCCTGGACAGTCAGGATGTGACTGCCTACTCTTCCATCTGAAGAAAAGACAAATGGAAATAAAGGAAAGAAAAATAAAATAAAATTTAAAAATAAAGGAAAGGAAAAGAACTTACTGCTTAAAGTGGATTCCTGTGGTTATTGCAAGACTAAGGCAATAGGTGATATTTGTTAAGGAGGGTAAAAAAAAAAAAGCCAATCTAGGATTTTCTTTAAAAAGAAAATAAAAGGCACAGGAAAATGTGCATTGTGTCATACCTTTGTGTGGAAAATGCATAGAACACCTCTCAAAGAGAACACACATGTAAAAACTGACATTTGAATTCTACTTAATTTCTACCATTAACAGAAAGAGAGCTGAGAAGAAATTAAGTTCTTAATAAACTAAGAAAGTTAAAATATCACAACACTAAAGCAAAGGAAAATAATAAATTACTCTTTTAAACTCATTTTAAACCATTTAATGTAAAATTTTTAATAAAAATTACCATTTTATGAGAATTACAAAGATTAAAAAAATTATAACATCCAAAGTTGTTCATGTAATACAGAATGGTATCAAGAGTTTTAAAGATGATATTAGTATTTATGCAGAGGAAATCATTTAACATGTGTAAAAAGATTTAAGAGGAAGGATGATTATCATAATATAATTTTTAGAAACCTGAAAGCAGGCTAAATAACTACCAATAGGGAACTGGTTAAACAAGTGGCATAAATTTGTTACTATCTAGTCATTAACCATGACTCATTTATTCTCATAGAAAGCTGTCCCAAGCAAGCATGCTTTGGTTTACACATGAGTTGCATCTTCTAACAGCTAAGGTTATGCGGCAATGGAATGAGCCACCTGGGGCATTCTAGCAAAACGTGTCATGTGTCACACAGGTCCATGGGCAATAGGATAGGGAACGTACGAGCAGGAACCAGGCAGATCACACAGCCTGGGGAAGTGGTTAAGCCCCAAAAGGTTAGTCACAGAACAGACCATGATACAAATACCATAGGTCCAGACCCACAGGGCCTGAGCCATGTTATGTAATTTTAAATTGCCCAATAGCCAGATTTGAAAAGGGCAAATAAACAAATAAAATTTATTTTAATAATATATTTTATATAACCCAATATGCCCATAATATTATCATGTCAACATTCAATCAGCATATATATGTAATTACTAACGAGATATTCTAGATTCTTCCTATGTTTCCAGGGTCTGGTGTGTTCCGCACTTACAGCACATTCCACATGAGCCACACATTTCCAGTGCTCGGTGGCCTCCTGTGGCTTGTGGCTACTGTGCCGGGCAGCCCTGCTCTAGAGCCTGTGAGCATCAGCACTCACAACACTAGTGACCAGCGTTAGTGAACTCGTAGGTTATTTTGTTCTCTGCCTCTTTTGTGAGTCTTGCTGGGCAAGGAAGCACCTGGGTACTCAAATGAAAAGTCTACCTGAACATAGGTCCAAGGCAGATAGCTGCAAAAGTCGACATCTAAGATAATGTCCCTGAGGGAGCATGTGGGAAAGGGATTCCTGCCCTGGGGAAGAAGTTGGATTTCACTGTCCTTCCCAACCCTGGGTCCCTGAACTTAGGGTGGGTTTCAGTCCCCTGACCTGACTGTTTATAACAGAAACGGCAAGTGCTCACTTTCAGGTTATTCCTATTAATGTCGAGTGCATGGCCGTGTGCCATGCCTACCCTAGACAGAAAGACAGACAGACACAAATAAAGACAAAGAGTGTCGCAGCTGAGCAAAGCCACCCAAATACCTCACAATTGTTTATGTGGATAGCTTTTCTTTTGTCTGAATATAAATGATTCTGGGAATATGTAGATATCAGATTATATATGCTTTTATGACCTTATAAGTTCCTTGAGATTTTTATTTTAATGTTATGGGCATAATTTAAAATTGCTCAGCAACGAGTCTTACTGAAACCTCAGAAACACTAGACTGATGGAAGCTAAAATGGGTCCAGGAAAGAGCTGGGAAATTTACTCTATGACGTGTTTCCTGGGATGGGAGCCAGGAGGCTCATATTCACACACCCTGGCTGGTGCTCAGATCTGAGAAGGTGCTGGGTTAGAGCAGTGGCAGCAGAAATGCAGACACTTATTGTGTGGACAAAGGGTATCATAACGATGAGTCACAAATCTATGAAGCAATTCCTAAGTCTTGGCTTGACTATCAGTCACCTAGAGATCTTGTTTAAAATGCACGATTCTTACCTCAGCCTTTGGAGAGTCTAATGCAGCAAGTCCAGGGCTGGACCGGAGGAGTCTGGAAGTAAGCAGTGTCTTAGAAGCTCCTGATGCAGTTGGTCCCTGGAGAATATTGGTATTTCTGGCAACACTTCCAGGCACAAGGATCAGGGTCTGGCCCCTCACTCGCCAGGAGCAGGAGGGTACATGCCAGGGCCCCAAGAGCAGCCAGTCTGTGAGGAGCTGGGACATGAAGCACAAAATGAAGTGAATGCCTGTTTATACTGTGTGAGCTGTGGAGATGGGAGGTAGAGGAAAGGGCAGGGGGATTCCAGAGAGCGAGCCACCTGGACTGCCAGCACAGAAAATGTGAGGGTCCTGGTCGACGGCTGCCTTTCCCTGTTAGGACTGACAACCATTGCCAACACCAAAGACTTGGCAGTTCCACCAAGTTAGTTTATTAGTGCTTCCTCTCTGAACCTGCCTGAAGTCCATATTATCAACGTGGAATCTCACAACTGCTACTTGGCAGTCACAGCGTTAGCTGTAAAAGCAAAAATCCAGAAGCAGGTAACACAGGATTCAAAGGCAAAAACTGGATTATTTGGTGTGAGAGGTTGAAACACTGGCGTTCTAAGGCGAGTGATGCCTTACTTGTGAAGAGTCACCAGAGGGCGCCAGAGCATCCTTCTCCAAAAGAAGTTTCTGTTGAACAAAACCTGTTAGGCTTCAATTAAATAAAACACTTGCCCCAAGCGACAGTTCTCACTGAAGTACCCTAAAGACAGAAGAGTGGACAGGTGGCCCTTGAAAAAGACTTCTGAGGCATGCAATTTAGTTGACGTCATCAGTGTTATGTTAAAAATTGGTGTGACTTTCCACCGAATCTCCTGATGCATCCTGGTTTGTTTTAATGTAGCAGACAATGTTTTACATTTCTTACACTGGATAAACAAGAAGCGCCTAAGGGCGCCGTGTTGGTCTCTGGCACACACTGGCGCCGACGCACAAGTCCTGGATTCTTGCAAGCTGCAACTTGGAACACGCTGCGGAGCTCGAATCGCCCCACCTGCTGTGGCACCTCCTACAAGCCTCGACTCTGAACTTGGAACCCGGGCTGTCAAGGCTGATGACCTCGGAGAGCTTCCATTCCACTGTCCTCGTTTTACACAGGGGAAACTGAGGCTCAGAGGGGCACAGGAACCTGCTTAGAGTCACTCTTCAGGTTAGTCTTGTAGCAGAGGCGAAACTGCTTTTTCCGAACTGACGCCGGAGTCCCCAACAGGAATGGGACTCGGTCCACTATGTTCTAAAGCCTAAACAAGGATATGAAAGAGTCTGACACTCAGGAAACTGGGTTCAAAGTGCAAAAACAATCCAGCCTCTTGCGGGAGGTGGGGTGTGGGGTAGGGAGGCAGCTCAGAGCAACTCTCCGGCAAATTTCCGTGAAGTGCTGCCACCCCCTGTTCAACTAAGAAATTAAATTCGAACTTTGCTGTCAAGTTAGCTTTTCCATTAAAATATTTTGTAAAAAAAAACCTGGCATTAGCACTTGCTATATTTCTATCATAATACTTTTTTTCCTAATACATTTGCTTGGCATTTCCGAACTCCATGATCATCATTAGAAAGTACAAAGACACAAGTATGAAGAGACACGAAAATTTCAAACCCAATTACTGAGAAATTAAATAAAAAACTTCAGTTTCTTGCAGATTCAGCCTTTATGAGTGTGAATGTCTTTGGATCTGGAATATTTTATAATATGCATTTGCTACATAATCATGGACTCACAAAACATATTCTGAATTAAAATAATAGCAAACATTGTAGTGTTTACTATATGCTGTATCCATATTTTATTTGGATGAAGTATTTTATGGATCAAGTACCTTATGGAAATACAGTATCCATATTTTATGTGGATGAATTTATTTAGTCCTCATGGTAACATCCCAAAGTAGGTGCCATTATCATCCCCATTTTACATATAAAGAAATTGAGGCATGGAGATATTGAGTAATTAGCCCAAGTCAGACAGCAAACACATGGTGAACTGAGAGCCTAACCCATGGCATCTGGCCTAGCCACCTGTGATCTTCACCACAAGGCCAGTGGTTCTCAAAGTATGGCCCCCAGACCAGCACCATCATGATGTGGAAACTTGATAGGAATGCAAGTTCTCAGGCTCCACCCCAGACCTCTGAGTGAGAAACTCTGGGAATGTTAACGAGCAGAGTTTTAACCAGCCCTCCAGGTGATTCTGCCACAGGCCGAAGTTCAACAAACACTGACCTAGGCTATGCTACTCCAATTGTTCGATTATTTAAATAAAAGCAACTCTGGGTCTAGACCTATCCTGGAGATATAATTACACTGTTATTTATGTTACTCTGTGGAATTATGGCATATTCAAAAGACATTGTCCAGGACTTAAGGAAAAATCTATTCTGGAAGATAATGCTTACATAATTAAGATCCTTAAAAAAGTTAGCTGCACTTCCCAAACTCATTAAAACCCCTGGTGACGGTCAGGGGTTCTCTGTTCATCATAAGTTGAGTCTTGTTTGGGATGACAACCCACTTCTGGGGAGATGAGGCCCAAGGACAGAGGATGTGGGTAGTTCTGAAGGACCCTCCCAGGTATCCAGATCAGAGACTGGCAGCAGGGAATAATTCCACCTATACTCTAAAACAAAACACAAAGTAAAAATTAAAGAGAGGGAATTTACCAGATAGATTTTTTTTCACCCTCAGCTTTTTGAAAGCCAGAGAAAAAATGGCGGGGCTTCCCCAGCAAAACTAGGATGTCCCCATCCCAAGTATGTGGTTTGGGATTGTAGCAATCTGGTTAAACTGGAACTACATTTCCCAGAATTCCCTTCCCTGCACAGTTCTGGTTTGGCAAGGGCTGCGGAAGACATCTGGTGAGGGATTTGAAAAGCAGAAGTGAAATAGCCGCCTGAAGGAGTTCCGTGTAGACTGGTGCATGGTCTGAGGCACTGTCCTCCGGTTGCCCTTGTCCACTCGTTCACTGCCTTGTTGGCAGGGGCAGCCACTGGGCTCGCTGCCTCTTCAGCCCCTAGTGGAGCCTCTTTCAGCTGATGAGTCCTGGACCCAGTGTGTGTTTAGTTCCACAGTGGTGGGCTCTTTCTTTTCCTGTGGGACACCCACTTCCTTAAATTTAGAGGCTTTTTGAAAAGCATACGAGGTCTGACAATTAAGTTTGTGAACTTGCCACCATGTGCTTACATTGGCAGCACTGTACAAACAGCTCAGTAAGGTTTCATAACCTTGGTACATCAGGGTATCACTGCTGTGTTCCTGTCAACATGTGGCAGTGTCTTGCTGAGTGGTGTTCATTATTCTTGTTGCCAATAGTCAAGATATGGAAGCAACCTAAGTGTCCATCAATAGATTAATGGATAAAGAAGTGGTATATAT